TCGCCGAACACGGGGCAGACAAGCGACGGTTTCCCCCAACGGACTGCTTCATGGGTCGTTCCCGCACCGCCGTGGTGTACAATGCCCGCACATTTCGGGAACAGCCAGCTGTGCGGTGCCTTGTCGATCAGAAAGACACGTTCGGAAAGCTCCGCCGGCAATTCCTCTTTCAGCAGTCCTCCCCAACCGGTGGCGAGCACTGCGCGCTGGCCGGTTTTTTCCAGTGCTCCAATCACCGTCCTTGTCAGATCTCCGGGATCCCGGCTCGGCATGGAGCCGAAACCGAGATAGACAGGTGGTTCGCCCGCTTCGAGAAACCGGGCCAGATCCTCGGGAGCCTGATATTCGGCGTCCGGTTCGGTGAACCAGTAGCCGCATTGCCAGTTCTCTGCGCTCCAGTCTTCCGGTGTCGGGACCAGTGCACGCGAAAACGCCTGGAGCGTCAGAGCTTTTTGATTGTTCGGCATAAAGCCGTCGATCGACGAACCCGACATGGCAAGCTCGTGTCCTGCTTCCAGCTTCAATGGATTGAGCAGTGGACGAAGGCCGGCCTTCATGAGCATCCGGCCCACACCGAAGCTCTTGCGATTGAGAAATGAGCCCATGGCAGGCAATCCGAAGAGAGGAAGCGGAAAGTCACCGGTTGGCGTTGTCGCAGGCTGGAGCGCGGTGGGGAGCGTCGGGACTGCCAATCTGCGCCCGACAAGGGTCATGACCGTTGCTTTCAGATTGAACAGGATGAGAGACGGCTTTTCGTCCAAACCGGTTTCCCAAAGGACCCTGGCGACATCCCGTTGAAGCGCGATGCTCTGGCGCGCTGCCTTGATCATGCCTTTCAGGGAATGAAGGGCCTCCCTGATTTCCGGTTTTTGCAGCAGGGCCTGGTAATTGACCGGAACCGGACGGGCTCGGGCACCGGCCTGTTCGATCATGTCTTCAAAACCTTCACCGGTACTGACCACCACGTCGACACCGATCCGGTTGAGTTCTCCCGCCAGAGAGACATAGGGCTGCACATCGCCACGCGTGCCGAGCGAGGCAATCATGATTTTCGGTCTGACATCTGGCATGCTTGATCCGGGGCAGGTGTCCTGACAGGGCGGACGAGAAAGTCACATCGCTTCACATGGCGGTCGGCCGGCGAAATTGCAACCGGGGATTTGTTCGCCTATGCCTTTATAACAAGAAGGACACAGGAACCGGCGATCATCATGCAGACCGTTTTTTCAGTGCGCACAGGCGGGCAGGGCCTTTATGAGTTCACACATTCCGTCTCGTCCTGGCTCCGGGATGAAGGAGCAGCGGATGGATTGCTGACCTTGTTCGTACGCCACACATCCTGCTCGTTGCTGATTCAGGAGAACGCCGATCCCGATGTTCAGGTGGACCTGAAAGCCTTTTTCGAGCGCCTGGTGCCAGGGTCCGATCACCCGAGCATGAGCTATCTTGTCCATACCTACGAAGGTCCGGACGACATGCCGGCACATATCAAGGCGTCGATACTACCCGTTTCGCTATCCGTTCCGGTCTCCGCAGGTCGTATGGTCCTGGGCACCTGGCAGGGGATCTATCTGTTTGAACATCGCGTCAACCCGCACCAGCGCCAGGTGGCGGCACACTTTCTGGCAACACCCGTGTAAGACGGTTCAGTTTCTCAAGGACGGCAATCCGATTCCCGTGCTTTCGAACCCGCCGTCGGAGGCAATGATCTGGCCCGTGACATAACTGGCCTGTTCCGAACACAGGAAGGCTATGACTTCGGCGATTTCCTGTTCGCTTCCGTAGCGGTTGAGAGGAATGGCATCGTGATAGGCATCAATGATGTCCTGGCTGTGCACGGCCATGGCCAGCTTTGTACGCACCGGTCCGGGACACACGCAGTTCGCACGAACTCCGAATTCTCCGAGTTCCGCTGCCTGTTGCTTGGTCAGGTGAATCACCGCTGCCTTCGACGTGCCGTAGGCGACCCTGAGGGTCGACGCCCTCAGACCCGAAATGGAGGCAATATTGACAATGGAGCCCCGGGTCTGCTTGAGCGCGGGTGCCGTTGCCTGGGAAACCAGGAAGACGCCATCCAGATTGGTTTCCATCACTGTGCGCCAGGCTTGGAAATCCGTATCTTCCATTGGACCGAAATGGGCGACACCCGCGTTGTTGACGACCGCATCCAGCCTTCCGAATTTATCCAGAATGGCTGGAATTGTCTCCTCGACCTGGCTCTGGATTGAAACGTCGCACGAAAACGGCGTTGCACCGTGAAGTCCTGCCGATGCAATTTCCAGTTCGTCGCTGTCCCGGTCGAGCATGGCCACATGCCAGCCGCGATCGAGCATCAATTTTGTCGTGGCAAGGCCAATGCCTCTCGCCGCGCCGGTGACAAGTGCAGTTTTCTGCATCTCTTCCCTCGTTTGGATGAAGTGTTCTAAGGCCGCGACGCTTCCAGCACCGTGTCTGAAAAAATCAGATGTGTGTCAGCGAAAATGATATTTCACTACATGGAAATGCAAACCCTGATTGCCCCTGCATTATCCCAAAGCGCCAGGTCCACGTCATTGATACGAAAGGCGTAATTTCCAGCCGGATCCGGTGTATTGACCGCCAGCGCGGCAAACTCGGCAAAAGGTACAATCCGGCCTGTCTGATCCCTTACCAGCATTTCGCCGAATGAGTACGACTGATCGAACTTGTAACCGTAAAGCGGACCGAGTTTCTTGGCATCCGAGCCTGAATAGCCTCTCGGTCCGACCGGTTTGTACATGCCGGAGATAACACTCCAGCTGCCGGCGTAACTGACGCGGCGAATATTGCCGTCCGGAAGCGTCATGCCCTGCCAGCCCTTTTTGGAGTTCACGTCGATACAAAAATCAGCAGCGTGAACAAGGTTTGGAATCAAGAAGATAAAGGAGCATAGTGTAGAAATAAGTTTAACCATGATTTGCCCCGAACATTATCGTTTGCGGCAGCAAATCTCACAACTGGCATTTCGTCAAGGTCTCAAACAAGTCTCTGTGCTGTCAGGGCAAATTTGATCTGGCGTGAAATATACTCACAGTATTCTCACACTTTATTGCCTTGTAACTCCAGGCTGAAAAACCCACATTTCAATCGAACGATGAGGGTCGTTCCTCCCCAGACTGGCGCCGGACTTGACACAAGTCCTGGCGCCGTTTTTTATTTTTCGGGCCCGGGAGGGGCGGCCCGCGCCGTCGGACGGGGACGACGCGGGCACTAACACCGGCCTGAAAAGGAGGGGCTCAGGTCGCGGTGTTTGCCGCAGCCGCCAACATGGCGGCAATCTGGTCTTTCAGGTGAAGTCGCTTCTTCTTCAGGTCTTCAAGCACGTCGTCGGCGGCAGGTTCCACATTGGTTTCAATGCGATGCACTTCCCGGTTCACGGTGTGATACTCGTCTGCCAGTCGCGCAAAATGAGTGTCTTTGGTCTTGAGCGTATGCAATTCGTCCGCAGATTCGGGAAATTCTTCGTGCAGTTCGTGTGGAACGTGACTCATTCGTGCCTCCTTTTGAGACACACAAATTGCCGCCAGTTCGACGGCGACACCTTGAGCCAGATCAATCGAACATGATTTGCAGGGGGACCGGATACGCTTCGACCGGGTATTCTCCGGAGCATTGCGGTTTCAGAATCGAAAATCCGTTTTCAGACGGACGAAACCATGCCGCCGAGCCTTTCTGTGACCCACCATGCAGAGAGGATTGCGATCGCGGTCAAGGTGCCAAGCCGGGCTGGCCTGAGGGCTGGGGTCGCCAGGCGTTCAAGCGCCAGGACAAAGGAAAGGGTTAAGGCCAGGATGATCAATTGACCGAACTCGATACCAACATTGAACGCCAGCAGAGCTGGAACCAGATCGGGCGCGTTGCGTCCTAGAATGTCACTGAGAACAAAAGAAAAGCCGAGACCGTGAAGCAGCCCAATTCCAGTGAAAACGAGAACTGATCCCGACTTGTTGACCATGGCCGCGATGGCCGCATAAAGCACGGATGCAGCGATGGCTGCCTCGACCGCCGGAATGAACCACGGCCACGAGGGTGTTGCGCCGAGAAAGGTTGCTATCAGGGTCACCGAGTGGCCGAGCGTGAACGCGGTGACCAGGTAGATAAGCTTGCGTGTCGCACCAACGCCAAGCGCAAGCGCTATTACCAGCAGGACATGGTCCAGTCCTTCCAGAATATGCAACATGCCTTGAAAAACGAAATGGAGAAATGTGGAGAGTCGTGATCCGTCCATGACCGTGGGCGCTTCAAGCTGTCCTGAAGCCGTTGTCGATACCGGAGGATCAACTCTGGCATCGACAAGATGGTTCTCGATCGAAACCCCGGGGCCCGGCAAAAGGGGTGCATAGCCCGACTGGATTTGGAGCACGCCGCCCGGGTCCGGGCTGTCGAACCTGACAGCATAGTCGATGAAGGCTTGCCCGAACACCGGATCCAGTGAGGAGCTTTCTGCAATGAGCGCAGCTCTTGCCGCGGCGACACTGTCCAGAGCCTGTATCGGTCGGTTGTTCCGGATCGTGAAACCAGTGATTGATGATGGCAGATCCAGTCCGGCCTGAGAGAATATCAGTGTTTTTTGAAGACGGTCTTCGAAGCTGGAACGATCCTGGAAAATGGCTTCCGTGTCGAGCCGGTAACGGACACCGCTACCGGTTGTTTCAACCCGCAGGAATGGAGAGAGGAGAGGAGCCTGATCGACCTGTGCCTTGCCGACCAGATCAGAAAAAACAAGCGGCGCCGGTACGCGAACATACGCGATCAGGACGCCGTCTGTTTCTGCAACCAGGATCGTACGGACCTTGGTACCTACTGAAAAATGTGCGGCGGCGGGAATTCCGGAGAGCACAATGACAAACAGGCTCAGCACCAGGTGTTTTACAATATCGGCAATGTAAGCGCGGATCATCTGCATCTCTTCCGTTATGCGTCCCGGGCACGCTGTGTGTCCGGGACGGTGCTTTCAGAGTGTTGTCACGAATGCATTCAGGTTACTGCCAGAATTTATCCTGCCATGTCATTTGCGGCAGGTCTTCAACAACTTCGAAGGTTTTGGTCTGCCGGAAGGAGCGTCCGTAGCGGTCCGTTGTTGTTACCTCCAGCGTATGGATACCGACCGGCAGGTCCTTGGGGAGCTCCGCACGCCATAGGTGGCTGGACTTCGTGGACAGCATCCAGTTCTGGAACGGCCCCGCAGCACCGGTCCAATGAGTGCCTTGCCAGGTATAGAACCCGGAGTTTACCTCGCCGCCTTCGGTGCTCCTCACAGCAATTCTGCCGTTTGTTGATTGCCTGGCAAGCGCGAGTGGGTCAGCATAGGTCGGACCGTCGAGGACTTCTTCGCCGTCACCTTTTTGCGTGCGCATCGCCACGGATGCAGAACCGCCGTTAATCCTGAATGAAACCTCGGTGTCCTTTGAACCGTTCCAGACATTGACGGCAACATAGGTGGTGTCGGCGAGATCCTTCTTCGTCAGCATGTCCATGTCGCCGAGATCGTTGACCGTGACCGGCGGCGTGATGTCGCTCGGGACATCGTAAAGATCCGTGTAGCTGACCAGTTTTTCCGCCCAGTCGCGGAACCGAGGCGTATTGAACGAGACGTGCAACTGATCGTCCCTGGTGCCTTCGAAGGTCATGTAGGTATCGACATAGTCCGGGCCGGAGAAATCCAGAACATAGTAGCCACGTGGGGAGCCGAGGCGCTGCGTCCCATGCGGCACACCCGAATTGTTGAGATCGCCAGCCCACCAGGAGCCGGAAACGGCTCCCGTAACGATCTGGTGGAATTTCGCCGGTCCGGTATTGGTTGCTTCCTTCCAACCCTTGAAATACTCACCCGGCAGGATCTGTTCGGTGGTGTGAGTGTGGCCGGAAAGGCCGAGTGCCGGCCGGTCGCCGATCAACTCGTAGAGTTTGTCCAGATTGTCCACCTGATGTTTCTGCGCGGAGGCATCCGTGTAGGTGACGAATGGAATATGGGCACTGAGAACAATCAGTTTGTCGTCCGGTACATGGGCCAGATCGTTCTTTAGCCATTCCAGCTGGCGCTCGGAGATAACGCCGTTGTAGGACGGTTTGGCGGACAGATCGCAAAACGCGTGGGAATCGACACCGTTACACGGGTAGCGCACGTCATCGAGAACGATGAAATGCACCTGACCGATGTCGAAGGAGTAGTATTCCGGACCGAATTCGCGGCGGAAGGTATCGAAGCTGTCAGCATCGCTTGTGGCATCAAAATCCAGGTCGTGATTGCCGGCAACGTAATATTGCGGCACGCCGCCGGTTGCGATGATCTTCTTGAAGCGCGGATAAAGCGACAGATCATCACCCATCACGTCGCCTTCGAAAAGAAGGCATTGGGTTTTGGAGTTGTCGCGGTTGGTCAGCATGTTGCCTACGGTTTTGCGCACATAGCTGATCTCCGCATTTGTGTAAGGCTGCGTGTCGCCGAATACGAGGCACTGGAAATCGTCGCCGACTTTGTCCTCGATCAGTGGAAAATTCACAGCCTGCGGCAGCGGACCCGTGGGCTTTATTCCGCCAAAGCGCAGGTCCGGGGAACCGGCCACCTTGTGAACGTAGTTGAACTGCGGAACCAGATCCGCATTGACCGGCGGAGAAAACTCGGCGGGTTTCGTGACGAACAGGTTCATGTCGTCATAGGCCGGCAACTCATAGGAGCCATCCGGTCCGGTGACAACGACTTCCCGACCATTCGAAACAAGGACGCCTGGCAGACCGCTTTCGCCTGCATCCAGCCTTGAATTCCGGTTGGTGTCGACAAACACCTTGCCGCTCGCCCTTTTTGCGGCCTGTTCGCCGTGAACGGTGTCGACGTTTCCGACATAGCCTGCATCCTTGGCGACAACGCCGGATGCAAATGCGCCTGTGCCTGCAAGGAGCAGGGCCAAGGTCAATTTTCTCATGAGAACCTCCGAGGGTAGGGCTGTTGGTTCAGCCGCCGGTAACTCTCCCCGGCTTCAATGACGTTAGATTGTCTATCACGTTAAAGTTTTGTTTCAATCGGTGCACACGCGATGTCACAAAGTCGGCAAACTGTCATGTTCGCTCTGATCCGCAGTTGATGCAAAGTCAGAAAACGGCTGAAACGCTGGAAAAAAACAGGGAAAGAGAGGAAATACTCCTGACAGAAGGGTGTCAGGAGACCTCTGCTAGATTGCGTTCCATCACAGCATTCAAGGAGACTTCCCATGACATTCGCACCTGACAATTTCACCGTTTGGATGGAGATCCCTGTCTCGGATCTCGACAAGGCGATCAGCTTCTACAACGAGGTGTTCCAAACCGAATTGAATCGCATCACCGACATGGGACCAAATCACATCGCAATGTTTCCGACCAAGGACAAGATGGGCATCGCAGGCCACCTCTATCCCGGCAAGCCCGCCGAGAAGGGAACGGGACCGACGGTTCACATTGCATGTCCGGACAACCTGGAAGAGACGATGGAACGCTTCGCAAAGGCCGGCGGAGAGGTAGTATCGGATCCGATTCCGATCCCCGCCGGGCGATTCGCCTATGGGATCGACCCGGATGGCAATTCGATCGGAATGTTCGCCGCTTAAGGAGCCACTCGCATGAGACGTGCCGACCGCCTGTTTCAGATTGTGCAATATCTGCGTGGCGGCCGGCTCGTCCGGGCACGGCAATTGTCTGAATGGCTGGAAGTTTCTGAACGAACCATCTATCGCGACGTTGCCGACCTTCAGGCATCCGGTGTTCCGATCGAGGGAGCGGCGGGCGTCGGATACATTATGCGCGACGGATATGATCTGCCACCTCTCATGTTCACCCGAGACGAAATCGTAGCTCTTCTGGCTGGTGCGCGTCTGATCCGCGCCTGGGGAGGGGCGGCCATGGCGCGTGCGGCCGAAGAGGCCATGATCAAGATCGATGCCGTTATTCCGGAAAAGATGCGTGTCCGGCAGAACGAAGTCGAAATCCACGCCTTTGCCCCTGAAATGACAGCGCAGGTACGTGACCTGATTGACCGTCTCGAGGCCGCGGCAGATACACGCAAGAGCCTGTCGGTCGCCTACATGGACGGCAAGGGTGACGCGTCCAGGCGGGTCATACGTCCCCTCGGTCTCTGGTTCTGGGGAAAGGTCTGGACGCTTGTCGCCTGGTGTGAACTGCGACGGGATTTCCGCATGTTCCGCCTGGACCGCATGTCGGACGTTGAAGAGACCGGAGAGACTTTCAGGCCGGAGCCGGGCAAGACGCTCAAGGATTTTTATCGATCCATGGAACAACAGGGCTACGGACGCTCCGATGCTTGAGATTGACTGAACCGGACGTTGCCTAGAATCCGGCTGGAATATTCATCGGCGTGACGATCTGGATATCGCTTTCCGTTTGGTTCAATGGTTCGCCGACGCCATGAAACGCGAGGATGTGTCGGAAGGCCATTCGCATGTCGTCACGCAGGTCATGGTGCAGCACCAGCGTAAGCACGTCCTTGCGCAGGAGCTCCAGATTGTCCTCATCCAGATCGTGGGCGATGAAGAAATCTGGCGTGTGGCCGGAGGCTTTCAGAGCATTGAGGATCGCGAAATTGCCGCCTCCCATGGAATAGACACCTGCAATCTTGGCAGGCCAGCTCAACTTCGCGGAAACTTCCTGGGCGGTCGATGGGTTGAGGCCGCCTCCACCGCTCGCATCGATCAGCTCGATGTCGGGGCGCAACCTGTGAAGCTCGAGGCGAAATGCGTGGAAACGATCTTCCTCGCCCTGGAACGCATGCTGACTGAGTGTTGTCAGGACGCACGTGTCCGTTGGCTTGAGAAGCTTGAGCATCAGATATGCCGCGGTTTGACCGGCCTTGATGTTGTCGAGGCCGGCATAGGCCAGCCTTCGGGCATCCGGGATGTCGGTAAAAACTGTGACAACAGGAATGTTCTTTGCCGTCAGCCGGTCAATTGCCGCGCGCACCCGTTCCGTGTCGCGGGCCTTCAGGCAAACACCCTGGCTGCCACGTTTCCGGATTCGATCCAGCACGGCGACGCAGTCATTTTCCGTCATGGTTTCAGCAAAAGTGAAACGCGGCCTGAGCGCCGCGGGCCTGAACAGCGGCAGGACGGCTTCGCTCGCGCGCTGAATTTCGCGGCTGAACCGTGAAGGTGCTTCAACGACAATATCGATAAAGAAGCGACGGCCCTTGGCGGACAGCTGGGTTTCCTGTCGCGCCAGTTCCTCGATTGCGTCTTCCACACGCCTGCGGGTTTGCGGGCTGACATGCGCCCGGTTGTTCAGGACGCGATCGACGGTCGCGGTGCTCAATCCCGACTGCAGCGCGATTTCCTTGACAGGGAAACGATGGGTCATTGATGGATTCTTGATGGAATATCTGAAACACTTCAAGTCCGGATCCGCTAGAATTGCAGGCACAACATGACGATGGGAGGATAATATGGATCGTCAGGTGATCCCCAATGGCTATTTCGATGCCGGAAGTTGCAGCATTGATGACTTCAAGGTTCTGGTAGACCAGCAGTTGAGCGAAAGCGACGCGCCCCGCGCAGAGCGCGTTGTGTCGAACATTCCGGTTTACAACGTGTCCGAGATCAACAGGTTGCTCTCAGGAACTGAGGGCAGGCGTGGCCTACTGGCCGAGTGGGCGCATATCCTGATGCACCGGTCCGGCGTTCTCGTGCTGGAGGGCGCTTTTTCCGATACAACCCCACTCGACGCGGCAACGAGCGTCTTCCAGGACATTATCCGGGACGAGAAAGCAGCCTCGGGTGGTGGTGCGGACCATTTTGCAGCTGCGGGCGCGAATGACCGGATCTGGAATTCGCTTCAGAAACTGTGTCTCCGCGATCCGGAGGCTTTTGCCGGCTGTTTTTCCAATCCGGCGATCGATGCCGTTTGCGAGGCCTGGCTCGGTCCGAATTATCAAATGACCTCTCAGGTCAATCTCGTGCGGCCTGGCGGTGGTGCGCAACAGGCGCATCGCGACTATCATCTGGGTTTCCAGACTGAGGAAGTCTGTGCAGACTATCCCGCACATGTGCACGATCTGTCGCCGGTCATGACGCTGCAGGGTGCCATCGCGCACACCGACATGCCCGTTGAAAGCGGTCCGACCAAACTGCTGCCGTTTTCCCAGCTGTACCGGCCGGGCTACATGGCCTACAGGCAGGATGTCTTCAAGGAGTTCTTTGAAAGTGCGTATGTTCAGCTGCCGTTGAAAAAAGGAGACGCTCTCTTTTTCAATCCTGCGCTTTTCCACGCGGCCGGGGAAAATAGGAGCACAGACATTCAAAGGCTGGCCAACCTTCTTCAGATATCGTCGGCCTTCTGTCGCGCCATGGAAACTTTTGACCGCGAAAGAATGTGCAAGACGCTCTATCCGATACTTCTGGAAAAGACCCGATCCGGCAGTTGGGACAAGGCGAAAGTTGATGCGGCAGTTTCCGCGTGTGCAGAAGGATATTCCTTCCCGACCAACCTGGACAACGACCCGCCGGTCGGCGGCCTTGCTCCCGAAACGCAAAAGCAACTGTTTCTGAGAGCGCTGGGCGAAGGATTACCCTTGGAAGCGTTTTCGAAAGCGCTTGCCGAGCAGACCAGCCGGCGCAAGGCGTAGGGTCAGTTCACGAGGGCATAACCGTTGCCGATGATTTCGCGGATGAGCTTGCGCTTCATGGCGCGCGCGTAGTCCTGATAGTCGTCGGCAACCTCGATAAATGCTCCAGGACCGCTGATGACGTGGCTTTGATAGTATTGAAGCGGGGAGTCTTCGGCTCCTTCAATAACCAGACCGTTGACGGTAATGCCTTCGAAATCAAATGCCTTGTAGGCGCTCGACGGCGGAAATCCGTCGTTGTTGATCCCGTCGCCTGCCACATCGATCACCTTTCGCGCACATTTGGCGGGCGCACGGCTCATCTGGACGGAGGCATAGCCTAACGCATAACCGATCGCTGTGGGGAAACCGATAAAACCGCGCCGCGATTCTCTGAGCGTGCTTGCTGCCCTTTCGGCACTTTCAGCATCGGTCAGGTGCTGCCATCCCAGCTGAAGGAAGTGTTGCCGCTGGCCGCTCCATTCAAAGCTCATGATCCAGATACCGCCAACAGCTTCAATCGCCTGAACGACATCCGGGTCGCTGAGCGCTTGCGCCATGCCGTTCAGCTGCAGGTCATGTTCCAGATGATCAACACTGGACGATCCGTCCATTGCCAGAACGAGCGCGAGCGAGCATGCAGTTGCGGGAACAGGAACCATTGCGGAAACGGCAAGGCCAAGAGCGCCAATGCAAACGCGCAGGCTGCGGGCGGGATTATGTGCGGTATCCGTGAGTGATCGAACGAATTGCCTGAACATGGGCGAAGCTTAGCAGTTCGTCGTGAACAGGCATAGATGTGATGTAAGTAGTTTTACTGTGAACGTGAACTGGAAGCTCTTTTTAACATTGCTGCTCCCCTCGAGTTATATGATTGAGTCCCCTTCCAGGGCGTTGAACACTGTGTTCTGCGGCAACAGAGCGGTCACCGGAATGATGGTGATGGTTTGAAATGCGCCCTTCGGCCTGATTTGAGGCCAGCTGGACGTCATTGTACTCCGCTTTTGATCAACCAGGCTGCTGTACAGACCGCGCCCGATTGGCAATTCCTGAATTCGAGTCGAGCGTCTCCGTTTCTTCGCAAACGCCCTGAATGCCGGGTTCAGCTTGCGTTCAGGTAAAATTGATTACACCTTGCCCATGACTTGGAGACACAGAACCGGAACGGGATTCGTGAAAAAGATCTTTGCCTTTTTGCTAGTGACCTTCGCTGCGGTCCTGCCAGCTGAAGCAGCCTGCCTGTCCCAGGCTCAGGCGCGGGAAGCCGTGGCGAGCGGCAAGGCCGCACCTCTTGGTTCGGTCGCGGGCCGCGCCGGTGGGGAAATCGTGAAGGCGCAGCTTTGTCAGCAGGGCGGCGGTTATGTCTACGTTTTATCTGTTCTCAAGGGTGGCAAGGTGACGAATGTCACAGTCAACGCCAGCCGGTGACTGGTACACCGGCGGTGATTGCACGGATTTGCAGCCGCCACCCACCGTTCCGATCGATTAATCAAGAAGTTGGTTCCAATGCGAATTCTCGTCGTCGAAGATGATACCGACCTAAACCGTCAGCTTGTCACTGCTCTTGAGGAGGCAGGTTACGTTGTTGACAGCGCCGCCGATGGGGAAGAGGGCCACTTTCTGGGTGAAACGGAACCCTATGATGCGGTGGTTCTGGATCTTGGCCTGCCGACACTCGATGGCTTGTCTGTGCTGGAAAACTGGCGCAGGGACGGCCGAACCATGCCTGTCCTGATTCTGACTGCCCGTGACCGCTGGTCGGACAAGGTGGCCGGCATCGATGCCGGTGCAGATGACTATGTTGCCAAGCCGTTTCACATGGAAGAAGTGCTGGCACGGGTGCGTGCACTCGTTCGCAGGGCAGCCGGCCATGCCTCCAACGAGCTGATCTGCGGTCCCGTGCGCCTGGATCTGAGAGCGGGGCGGGTAACCGTCGACGGCAATCCGATCAAGCTCACATCCCACGAATATCGATTGCTGTCTTATCTGCTGCATCACAGAGGTAAGGTGATTTCCAGGACCGAACTGACCGAGCATCTCTACGATCAGGACTTTGACAGGGACTCCAACACGGTCGAAGTGTTCGTCGGCAGATTGCGCAAGAAAATCGGTTCGGACATGATCGAAACGATCAGGGGCCTCGGGTACCGTCTTGGAGAGCCCAGTGACGACTGACCGTGATGCTGTCGCCAAGGCGCAACAGACAGGTAGTCGTCAGTGGTCTCTCGCGTCCCGGCTGGTCTTTGTTGCGGCCGTCTGGTCCACCATAACACTTGCATTGGCAGGCGTTTTCCTCGTCAGTCTTTATCAGAGCGCAAGTGAGCGAGCCTTTGATGCCCAGCTGGAAGTTCATATCAAGGGCCTCATCGCCGGAATGCTGGAAACAGGTCAGAACGGCGGACCGGAAACGTTGATCCAGTCGGTGGCGGCGCCGGTCTACCGGGGCGATCCGAGATTTTCCCTGCCCTTGTCCGGGTGGTACTGGACCGTGCGGCGCGCAGACAACCCGTCGATAATGTTTGCGTCCGAATCGCTGCTCGGTGATCCGTTGAATACACCTCCGATTGGCGACATGGACAGCAGTGCGGGTTTTGTCAGCGGTCCGACGGGAGATGAAGTGCGGGTCCTGCAGCAGCGCATCACGATCGGAGAGGCCTCCTACGTTATCGCGGTGGGGGCTGCAACGGCCGGGTTCTGGGCGGACATTGCAGAATTCTCGCGGACTGTCACCTTGACGCTCTGCATCGTCGGTATTGGCCTCATTCTCGCAATTTTCCTTCAAGTCCGGGTTGGCCTCAGGCCTCTGGCAAGGCTGCGCTCCTCGCTCTCGGCGGTTCGGCTGGGAGAAACGGAACGCATTGATGAAGCCTTGCCACGCGAAATCTCGCCTTTGGCAGTCGAGTTGAATGCGCTCATCGTCTCCAACAAGGAAATTGTCGAACGAGCTCGAACCCATGTCGGAAATCTCGCACATGGCCTGAAGACACCGCTTTCAGTGATCTCCAACGAAGCGCGGGCTTCTCAAGGTCCGTTTGCCGACAAGGTGAGCGAGCAGGCGGCGATCATGTCGACCCAGATTCAACACCACCTCGAACGCGCAAGGATGGCAGCACAGCGGCGGGTGATCGGTGTATCCTGCGAAACCGAACCGGTTCTTGGCAGGCTGATCCGGGCAATGGGGAAAATCTATCAGGACAAGGGTATCGAGGTTGCGTTCAACCAGACCGGGGACATCCGCTTTCGGGGTGAGAGCCAGGATCTTGAGGAAATGGGGGGCAACCTGATCGACAATGCCTGCAAGTGGGCATCTTCAAGGGTTTCTGTCGACATTGTGTCTCAGGACGATCCGGCCACGAACCGCGAGATGTTCGTGCTCACGGTCGAGGACGACGGACCGGGCCTGTCTCCTGAACAACGGGCCGAGGCTGTCAAACGTGGCAGGAGGCTCGATGAAACCGTGCCCGGGACAGGCCTTGGCTTGTCAATTGTGGCAGACCTTGCAGCGCTTTACGGTGGTACTCTCAACCTCGATATGTCTTCCCTGGGAGGTTTGAAGGCCAGCCTTGTGCTGCCGGCACTGACAAGGGAATAGGGGATTACGATGACGGCGAAGAGACCGGCGTCGGAGTGCTGTGTTAGGATGTGATCCGGCACTGGGACGAAAAGACCATTGTCTGGCCAAGTTCGGCCACAAATTCAAAATACCACTGACTTGTCTTCGGGTTTGATCCTGTCTGTTGCTCTTTGGGGGAGCTTTCAAGCATGCGTTTGCGCAGTGCCACATTTGTTGCCCTTGCTGTCGTTCTGGCAGGATGCTCTGCGACGTCTGGAAGCAATGGCTCGGGCGGTTGGGGATCGTCTTTCGGTGATCCCGGGGCGAATGTTTCAGGCAGCGAGGCGAACACCGCCATTTCCGTGCTCGTGAACAACGAGTTTGGCAATGCATTGGATCCGTCTGACCGCCGTGCTGCCGAGGACGCCCAGACCCGTGCCTTGAGATCAAGGGGCCTTGGCGCCGCCGTAGCCTGGCAGAACGACCGTACGGGTCGAAGTGGGCAGGTCAGGCCTGGTCCGGTCTACACCGTCAACGACACAAAGTGCCGAGAATTTACCCACGAAATGGTTCTTCAGGGCCGCACACTTCAGGCACGCGGAACCGCTTGCGAATCCGGACGGGGCGACTGGACCGTTATCGGATAGGCCGCAAAGGTTAAAATCACCGGACAAGACAGGTTTATTCTCAACAATTGCTTAATCCTTGCACCGGTATTATCGACCGGATTCGGATTGCGGCGTTGACCCTTTGAATGACCTACTCGAACGAGCTTGAGAGTAAAATTAAGGACTACCTGAGCAGCTTGAGCCCGCAAGCGGTCGAGGCACTGGTCAGCAATTTGGAGCAGGCCAAAGGCAAGAACAATTCTGATCCGCATCTCAGCTTGATCCTGACAGCCGCCGTTACACTCATGCGCAAGCCGCAGACTTTTGCCGGCGGTATACCGAACGGCAAGTTCCGGCGCGCGCAGGTTCAAAGGATGTTCTTCGCACCTCTCAATGATTTCCTGATCGGTGAAACCCTGCCCAACCGGCAGGAAGGCCGGATCAATCGGATCATGCTGGACCGGGTCTGGAACTGGCTCGGCAGGGATGTGATCCCGAACGACGTCAAGACCGTGCTCGATCAGGCCGGCGATGCGACCGTCAGCGACGAGCGGGTCGTTGCTCTTGTGCAGGCGCTCAGAACCCGGTCCGTGGAAGCGGTCGAGGAGACGTTGGAACGCAGCGAGATATCGGACAAGGTGCGGCGCCAGATCGGCGTGGAACTTGGCGGCGAGCGTGGCATTTCCGAACTCAGGGACATTCACAAGATCTTCGCCGCCGAACGCTGGCTGGTACCGTTTCTGCAAAGCATTCCCGAGCGGATCAACGAGCATCGTCTCAAGCAGGACCATGATGTGTTGCGCCTCGTGGACAAATGTTCAGCGCGCTTTCCGGATCACGTTCCCCTGCTCGCCGCGGCGCTGGTTGAACGTTCCGAGGCGCCGTCCGCGCTTTGCACATTCGCGGGCCGTCTGGCTGGAGACCAGGATCCCAAGGTTATTGCCGGATCGCAGTTCGCCTCCATGGTCGACGTTGTGATGAGCGAGGCGGAACGTCTGCAGATACTCGCGCTTGAGCACAGGAACAACAATCCGGACCCGGTCGCGTTTTCGCAGGCACTGTCAGAATATCATACGCTTGTGCGCGGTGTTGAACGGGACATGGACCTTTCCATTTCCGGACGATGGCATCAGCGGTTGGCGGACACCAAGCGAAACATCTCCGGTGAGGTCACGCGCGAACTCAAAAACGCTCATGGGGCCATTCGCAGGGCACTGCAGGTACCCAAATTCGACGGGGACGGTCAGCTCAGGATAGAACAGCCGGCAATCGACGAAGCCATTCGGACCTTGCGCGTCGTCACGATGGCACGGAATGCATCCGAGACGTTTGCGGTAAACGAAATAGGCAAGCAAACGCGTCAAACGGTTGAACAGACTCTTGAAATTGTCACTCGTTCACTGATCACCGACCTTGGAAGACTGCATGGCCAGGAGGCGGAGGCGCAGCTTGCGGCAGTGGATGTCGCGATCATGCTTTCTGAAATCTATTTTGGCGCAGAATATGCCGGTCAGCTTCGCCGCAGCCGTCAGTCCGCGGTGGCAAAGGCAACCGGCAAGGAAAAGAAGAACGAACCTGCGCCGGAACGCAAACTTGTTTCAAACGCACTCGAGCGCTGGTAGGGTCCGGCTCAAAGAACGCCGTTGCTGACGATGGGTCAACGGGATTTGAGCGGCGCGACGGCTGGTCACAGCCCAATCGTCTTGCATTTGCCGAGTTTGCGCTGTCTATAGTGCGCCCATGATATTCTGGATCCTACTCGCTGTCATGACGGGTGTCGCCGCGTTGTCTGTTCTTGTTCCGCTCGCGCGGGCTGGCAAGGCGCAGGCAAGAGCGGACGGGAGTGCGGATGAGGCGGTCTACAGGGAACAGCTCTCTGCCATCGATAGCGAGCTGGACCGCGGGCTGATAGAGCCTGAAGCTGCTGAAGCCGCGCGAACCGAAATTGCCCGACGGTTGCTTGCTGCGCACGACAAGAATGAGCAGCAACACCAGACCACCGCCTCCGGAGGGCGGTTGAAGGCTGCCCAGGTTTTCGCCCTGGCAGCCCTGCCGCTCTTTGCGCTTGGCACCTACTTCGCTCTTGGCTCTCCCGAAGAACCCGACCAGCCGCTGATTACGCGATTGAGCGCACCTGCTGAAGGGCAGTCGGTCGATGTGCTTTTGGCGCGTGTCGAGCGCCATTTGTCAGAAAACCCCGAAGACGGGCAGGGATGGTCGGTGATTGCACCGGTCTATTTGTCGATGGGTCAACCGCAGGCATCCGCGCGTGCCTATGCCAATGCAATCCGTATCTTGGGACCGAATCCGGAATGGCTGACCGACATGGGCGAAGCTCTTACGATGGCCAATCAGGGGCTCGTTACGGAAGAGGCGAGGAAAGCCTTTGAGCAGGCGGTAGCCTTGCAGCCGTCCGCCGCCAAACCCAGGTTCTTTCTTGCTATTGCCCTGGGCCAGGATGGCAATATCGAGGCCGCCGTAAAGGCCTGGGAAGACCTGTTGGACGGAGCTGACGAGACGGCTGCGTGGGTTGGCGTTGCACGACAGCAACTTGCACAGTTGAAGGGCGTGCCTTCTGACGAAAGCGCACCGAACGGTCCCTCGCAGGCGGATATCGCTGCTTCGCAGGATTTGTCCGCTGAAGACCGGCAGGAAATGATCAGGGGAATGGTCAACGGCCTCGCAGGACGTCTTGCCTCGGACGGTGGCAGCGCGGATGAATGGAGCCGATTGATCCGGGCATACATGGTTCTTGGTGAAAAGCAAAAGGCCGAGGAGGCGCTCGCTGCTGCTGAAGCCGCCCATTCAGATAAACCTGCGGACTTGTCTCTGATCAAAGACACTGCCAGTTCGCTTGGGTTAAGCGGGTCCTGACAAAACGGATTTGCCGGCTGGATCAGAGGCTCAGCTGGCACAGACTGGACGGAACACATGACGCGCAAGCAGAGAAGGTTGACCCTGATCGGATCGGCGGGAGCCGTGCTGGCAATTGCACTCGGGCTGATTCTTTTTGCCCTGAACGATCAGATTGTCTTTTTTCAAAGTCCGACCGACATCACCCAAAATACAATGCCCGCCGGACAGCGCATTCGACTTGGCGGACTGGTCGAGGAAGGATCGGTCGAGAAGTCGGACAATGCTCAGGTGAGTTTTCGTGTGACGGACATGGCGAATGCCGTTGCCGTTACCTATAAAGGAATACTACCGGACCTGTTTCGTGAGGGGCAGGGGGTCGTGACAGAGGGGGTCATTGGACCGGACGGTGTTTTCGTTGCCGATAGCGTTCTTGCCAAGCATGACGAGAATTACATGCCCAAGGAAGTGGCAGAAGCGCTGAAGGATCAAGGCCATTGGCAGGGCGGCGAAGGCGAAGCCAACTAGAAGCTGCCACGGGAGAGACAGGACGCGAAAATGATCGTTGAACTGGGACACTACGCACTCGTGCTGGCCTTTGCGCTGACACTCGTCCAGTGCGTTCTGCCGCTTTGGGGGGCGCTGTCGGGAGATGACAGGCTGATGGCTGTTGCACCGCCTGTATCCGTCATGTTGTTCGTATTGGTGCTCATATCGTTTGTCGCATTGACTGTTGCTTATCTGAATTCGGATTTCTCGGTCCTGAACGTGCTGCAGAATTCCCATTCCGCCAAGCCGCTGATCTATAAATTCACCGGCGTCTGGGGCAATCACGAGGGGTCCATGCTCCTTTGGGTCCTCATTCTCGTGTTTTTCGGGGCGCTTGTCGGATTTTTCGGCGGTAACCTGCCGAAAGATCTAAAGGCAGCAACGCTTTCGGTTCAGGCCTGGGTTTCGGCCGGTTTCATTCTGTTCCTGCTTGCCACGTCCAACCCTTTCGAGCGTGTGGTCAATCCGCCTCTGGAAGGAGCGGATCTCAATCCGATCCTGCAGGATATCGGTCTCGCAATTCATCCGCCGCTTCTCTATGTCGGCTATGTCGGCTTCTCCATCACATTTTCATTTGCGGTCGCAGCTCTCCTTCTCGGTCGCACGGATGCTGCCTGGGCGCGCTGGGTCCGTCCCTGGACGCTCCTGGCCTGGTGTTTCCTGACACTTGGCATCGCCATGGGGTCTTACTGGGCCTATTACGAACTCGGCTGGGGTGGCTGGTGGTTCTGGGACCCGGTCGAAAACGCCAGTTTCATGCCCTGGATTGCCGGGACGGCTTTGCTTCATTCAGCGATTGTCATGGAAAAGCGGGAGGCACTGAAGATCTGGACGGTTCTTCTGGCCATTTTCACGTTCTCGCTCTCCCTGCTCGGCACCTTTCTCGTGCGTTCTGGTGTTCTGACATCAGTCCACGCCTTCGCGACAGACCCGGCGCGCGGTGTGTTCATACTGGTCCTCCTTTGCATTTTCATCGGCGGGTCCCTGTCGCTTTATGCGTGGCGGGCTCCAATGCTGAAACAGGGCGGGCTTTTCGCGCCCATCAGCCGCGAGGGCGGGCTGGTACTGAACAACCTTTTCCTGACGGCGGCTTGCGCCGCGGTGTTTGTCGGCACGCTGTATCCGCTTGCACTTGATGCAATCACGGGAGAGAAGATTTCGGTTGGAGCCCCATTCTTTAACCTGACTTTCGGTCCGCTGATGGTGCCTCTGCTGATGGCGATCCCGTTCGGTCCGGTCCTGTCCTGGAAGCGGGGCGACCTTCACGCGGCCAGCCAACGGCTTTATGCGGCTTTTGGTCTTGCGCTCTTGTTCGCGCTCGTGACGTTCTGGCTGTGGGGTATGGAAAAGGTACTGGCACCAATGGGTGTGGGCCTCGCTGTCTGGGTCATGGCTGGTGCGGTATCGGAGATCGTGACCCGTGTGAAGTTTTTTGAAATCGGCCCGAAACGAGGTTTCGCTCGCCTTGTCGGATTGCCCGGGTCCGCCTGGGGCACGGTCGTCGCGCATTTCGGCGTTGGTGTCACGGTGCTTGGTATTGTGACGGCGTCCGCTTTTCAGGAGGAACGCATCGAGACAATGCGGCCGGGCGATAGTGTCGAACTGTCCGGATACGAAGTGACATTCGACGGTGCGGCGCCGCGCCGCGGTCCGAACTATACCGAGGAAGTCGGCCATTTCACCATTCGCAAGGCAGGCGCCTACGTGGCCGAGCTCGATCCTTCCAAGCGCGTCTACACCGCGCGCCAGATGCCGACCACCGAAGCCGGAATCCATACGACGGGCTTCTCGCAACTTTACCTGTCGCTCGGGGAAAGCCGTGGTGATGGTGCCGTCGATGTTCGCGTCTACTACAAACCGCTGATCACGCTGATCTGGATCGGTTGCGTGATCATGTCCCTCGGGGCGGTGTTTTCAATGGCTGACCGTCGGCTCCGGGTCGGGGCGCCGAAACCGGCAGCGCGCCGCAAGGCCGTTCAGACGGCCGCGGCGGAGTAACCCGTTGATGATCCGGACAATTCTGACAAGCCTTATTCTGGCATTTGCCATCCTCACCGCACCTGCGCTGGCAGTTGCCCCTGAAGAGGTGCTTGACGATCCGGCCCTGGAAGCCCGGGCAAGGGCGCTTTCAGCGGAGCTTCGGTGCATGGTGTGCCAGAACCAGTCCATTGATGATAGTGACGCACCCCTGGCCAAGGACTTGCGTGTTCTTGTGCGTGAGCGTCTCGTCGCCGGAGACAGCGACGGACAAGTGATTGACTATCTCGTTTCCCGTTACGGCGAATTCGTGCTGTTGAAGCCGCGTTTTGCCTGGCATACGCTTGTCCTTTGGGCGGCAGGGCCTGTCGCCCTGCTTGCCGGACTGATTGCGATTGTTCTGGCGCTGCGCAGTCGTTCGCGGCGCGGTTCGCAAGTCGCAACGGCAGCCTCTGCAAACCTTTCTGCGGAAGAAGAAGAACGTTTGAAGGCACTCCTGGAAAAAAGGGACGTGCCTGAAAACGAATGATGTCTTCTCCTGGCGCTCTGGCTCAGGTGAGCCTGAACGCTTCGAGGTGACTTGTGCAGGGATTGCTTTTCAGGTGGGTCCAGACCTTCTCGACCAGTGGAGAAGTGGTCTCCCGTTTCTTGTAGAGCCAGATCTCGAGTTCGGTGTCGAAGCGTCCGTTTCCGGCAAGTGCAAATTGCCCGGAACGAATGCTGTCATGGGCACTGCAGGCCGGCAGCCAGAGCATTTTCTGATCCATGTGCGCGAGCCGCTTCATGAATTCGCAGGTACCGCTTTGCGACGTGCAGACGAATGTCGGATCCTGGGGGGTCATCGCGGAAAAAAGCAGGTCCTCGACTTTCGAAAAATATCCGGTCTGACCGTATCCGATATACTCAAGTCCGCGCGCCGGCGGGTCGTCGACATCAAACGCCGGACGGCCTTCTGCGTCGAGGGCAGTACAAAGATGCATAGTATCTTCGCCGAGTTTGATCGCTTCGAATTCCTGATGCTCGAAAAATGACGGCACCTCTGGCTTCGAATACAGCAACACAAGATCCATCTTTCCGTCGCCGAGCAGCTCGATCATTTCATAAAAATCATAGGTGTCGATGGACACCGAAAAGGTCCCGCAGGCCTGCTTGATCTGGTGCAGCCACTCAGGGACGAAACTCAATGCGAGAGACGTCGAGGCGGCCAGCCGGATATCCGGAGTAGCATCTGAATTGCGCCGTTGGAACTCAACCCGATTCAGTTCCAGTTCCCTAAGCACGTTCTGGGCTGTTGCGTGAAAAACCTCACCGTCAGGTGTCAGGGAAACCGGATAGCTGCTTCTGTCGAAGAGTTCCGTTCCCAGCCAGGTTTCCAGCGCCTTGATCCGACGGCTGAATGCGGACTGGGTAATGTTCCGCTCGTCCGCTGCCTGCGAAAAGTTTCCTCTTTTGCTCAGGACAAGAAAGTCGGCCAGCCAGTTTGTGTCCACCAGTTTCTCCCTTTGGTCTTGCTGAAAAAACGAGCAAAACAAACTATATGCAAAATTTGCATAACAAGGCTGTTGGTCGAATTCAAGCAATCGATATAAGCTTTTGCCCCAGGTGCGGAAATCATGCTCAGTCAACGAAGCGTGTCCGCATGCAATTCCGCCGGTGTTTTTCCGGCACCATCCCATAAGCCAAGTTCCTGAGGGGGAATGATCGTGAAATTTACAACACCTCTGAAAAGTCTTTCATTGGCAGCAATGCTGGCAACAACCGCTGCCTTTCCCGCGATTGCCGAAACACCCGCGGACACATTCGTGATCGCCCGCAACACAGCGGATGCAATTACGCTTGATCCTGCTGAGTGCTTTGAGTTCACCGGTGGCAGGATCGTCGCAAATCTTTATGAGCGGCTGTTCCTGTTCGAGCCTGACAACCTGACAAAACTTGTCGGTGGTATTGCCGAATCCTACGAGTTCTCCGACGACGGCAAGAAAATCACCGTCAAGCTGCGCCCCGGGCTGACCTTCCATTCCGGTAACCCGATCACCGCTGCAGACGTTGCCTACTCGCTTGGCCGCGCTGTGAAGCTCGACAAGACGCCGGCTTTCATCATCAAGCAGATCGGCTGGACGCCCGAGAATGTCGACGAGGCAGTGGTTGCTGTCGATGACACCACGGTCGAGATCAACATTCTGGCGGACATGTCACCGGCGCTCGTGCTGAACCTCCTGTCGGCAGGCGTGGCATCCATCGTGGACATGAAGGAAGTTCAAAAACACGAAGTCGACGGCGACATGGGTTACGCCTGGCTGAAAGATCATTCCGCTGGTTCAGGTCCCTACAAGCTGAAAACCTGGAAAGCCAACGAAGTTGTCATGCTGGATGCATTTGACGATTACCGCCAGGGCAAGCCGGCCATGAACCGCGTCGTCATCCGCCATGTGGCTGAACCATCCGCACAGCGCCTGCTGCTGGAAAAAGGCGACGTTGATGCCGCAATGGAATTGACGGCCGACCAGCTCAAGGGTCTTTCCGGCAATTCGGACGTCTCCGCGGAGAGCTATCCCAAGGGATACCTGATGTATCTGGCGAGCAACATGGACCATCCGGTTCTGTCGAAGCCTGAGGTTCGTGAAGCGCTGAAATACATGGTCGACTATGACGGCATGGTGGGGTCCTTCCTCGACGGCCAATACAAGATCCACCAGAATTTCTGGCCATCAGGTATGTGGGCAGCGGCAACCGATACGCCGTATAGCCACAACATGGAAAAGGCCAAGGCGCTGATCGCAGATGCCGGACTTGACGCCGACACCAAGATCACGATCGACACGCTGAACAAGTCTCCGTTCACGGAAGTGGCCCAGAGCGTTCAGGCCAGCTTGAAGGAATTGGGGATCGATTCTGAAATCATCCTGTCCGACGGCGCCACGCTCTGGCCGAAGTATCGTGCACGCAAGCATGAGCTGATCGTTGCGCGCTGGGGCCCGGATTATTCCGATCCGCATTCCAACGCTGATGCGTTTGCGCACAACCCGAACAATGACTTCGAAGCAAAACTGACGGGCAAGCTGACTTGGCGCAATGCCTGGCCTGCTGACGGACTGACTGAGCTGACCGACCAGGCAGCCGCAGAATCTGATCCGGAAGTCCGTGAGGAAATCTATGCCAAATTGCAGAAGATGGTGCAGGAAGACTCGCCCTTCACCATCATGTTCCAGGCGATTGGTACCTTCGGCCAGCGCGCGAACGTTGAAGGCTTCGTCAACGGCGTGACCTCCGATCAGGCCTACTACAAGACTGTCACCAAGTAAGCACGTTCGGCTGTTCGCGACACGTCAACCTTGTGTCGCGAATGGCCGGTCTCATGCTGGACCGCGCTTCCTCAAATTGAGTGGGGAAGCGCGGCTTTCTGTTAATATGCAGCGAAATCGGGGGATGCGTTGGGAATGAGCGACAGTTCCACACTACAACGCTCAGGGGTGGATTTCAGGCCGTATCTGGATGTGGCAAGGAAGATCGGCGGCGGCATAGTCATGCTGATCCTCACGTTCATCGGCTTGACCGCAATCACCTTCATCATTGGCCGGATCATGCCCAATGATCCCGTTGTTGCCATTGTTGGCGACCGCGCCTCGAAAGAAGTCTACGAGGCTATGTACCTCCAGCTCGGTCTCGACAAGCCGATCTGGCAACAGTACCTCATATTTATTGGCGACATTCTGCGTGGGGATTTCGGAAGTTCGGTCATGACCGGACAACCGGTTCTTGAAGACATCAAGCGCTTTTTCCCGGCAACGCTCGAGCTGGCCACCATCGCGACGATCGCCGGAATTGTTATCGGTGTTCCAGCCGGTGTTCTGGCTGCTGTGCGGCAGGGAACACTGATAGATCACGTCGTCCGGATTGTCGGATTGCTTGGCCATTCCATTCCGATTTTCTGGCTTGGTATGGTCGCGCTGCTGGTTTTCTATGCCAAACTCGATTGGGTTGCGGGTCCTGGCCGGATTGATTTCTTCTACGATGGTATCGTGGAACCGGTGACCGGCGTTATCATGATCGATGCTGCAATGGCCGGAGAGTGGGACGTCTTCAAGAATGCGCTCTCGCACGCGATCCTGCCCGCGTCGATGCTGGCGATCTACTCGCTGGCATATATCGCGCGCATGACGCGCTCCTTCATGCTGGACCAGCTCAATCAGGAATATGTGCTCACCGCCCGGGTCAAGGGCCTGCGCGAAGGAACCGTGATCTGGTATCACGCTTTTCGAAACGTCCTGGTTCAGCTGATTACGATCATTGGCCTGACCTATGCCAGTCTTCTGGAAGGATCCGTCCTGACAGAAACCGTGTTCGCCTGGCCGGGTATCGGCCAGTACATCACCAATTCGCTGTTCAACGCCGACATGAATGCGGTTATCGGCGGCACGCTGGTAGTCGGGATTTCATTCGTATTCATCAATATGCTGTCCGATTTGCTCTACCGGATAGTCGATCCGAGGGCAAAATAATGTCGGACGGCACGCTTGGGACAAAATCCGGATCTGCATCATGGTTGTTGGCGGACTCGCCAAACAACGCCTTTCAGGCAAGGTGTCAGCGTCTTTACATCGGTTGGCTTTCGTTCAAGTCCAATCCGATCGCGATGCTCGGTCTGGCAATCGTTCTCTTCCTCTGCCTGGTGGCACTGTTTGCACCCATTGTTGCCGGTGGCGACGGAACGACCCAGAATCTGGCCAATCGCCTTGCACCTCCGAGCGCGGAGCATTGGTTCGGAACGGACGAACTCGGCCGTGACATCTTCGCCAGGATCGTCTGGGGCTCCCGGGTCACGCTCTATATCATCTTTCTTGTCTCCATAATCGTGATGCCGATCGGTCTCCTGATCGGGACGACAGCCGGACTGCTCGGCGGTGCGGTGGATTCAACGTTGATGCGTATCACCGACATTTTCCTGGCCTTTCCGCGTCTAATTCTGGCGCTTGCCTTTGTCGCGGTTCTCGGGCCTGGCCTTGAGAACGCGGTACTGGCCATTGCACTCACAACATGGTCCCCCTATGCACGGCTTGCACGTGCAGAAACACTGACGTTGCGCAACAGCGAGTACATCATGGCCGCCCAGATTTTGGGTGCCTCCAGGATCAGGATACTGATTGCGCATATAATGCCGATGTGTCTGTCTTCGACCGTCGTCCGGCTGACGCTGGATATGGCCGGCATTATCCTCACAGCTGCTGGACTGGGTTTTCTTGGCCTCGGCGCGCAGCCACCACTTGCCGAATGGGGGGCCATGATTGCCTCGGGCAGGGATTTTCTTCTCGACCAATGGTGGGTGCCGACCATTCCCGGGATTGCGATTCTCGTGGTTTCTCTCGGCTTCAATCTTCTGGGTGACGGTCTTCGTGACGTGCTCGATCCCCGCAGTTCCGGGGCGAAATGACGATGAACAAGATGAAAATGACAGGTTTTGAGACATCCTCTCCGGGGGAGGCTCCGCTGATTTCCGTCCGGGATCTTCATGTCCGGTTTGCGACACCCAAGGGCCAGGTTCATGCTGTTCGCGGCGTCGGCTTCGACCTGGGAAAGGAGCGACTCGGGATTGTCGGAGAATCGGGATCGGGGAAGTCTCAGACGGGGAGGGCACTCCTGCGCCTGACGGCCGGCAATGGGTCGATCGAAGCAAGCCGGATGATGTTTGATGGCAAGGATCTGATGCAGGCCAGTGCGAAAACCATGCGCAGTATCCGAGGATCCCGTATTTCCATGATCATGCAGGATCCGAAATATTCACTGAACCCGGTATTGACCGTCGGAAAACAAATAGCTGAATCCTGCCGCCGGCACGAAAATGTTTCCCGCACCGAAGCGAAAAGACGTGCCATGGCCATGCTGGAGACAGTGCGTATCCGCGAGCCTGAAAAAGTCTATTCGCTTTATCCCCACCAGGTGTCCGGTGGAATGGGGCAACGGATCATGATCGCGATGATGCTGATTACAAATCCGCAGGTCATGATAGCCGACGAGCCGACATCTGCGCTTGATGTCACGGTTCAGATGCAGGTTCTCTCCCTGCTGGACGACATGGTACGAGAACGGGGCATGGGACTTGTGCTGATCAGTCATGACCTGAATCTGGTCTCGAGCTTCTGTGACCGTGTCCTGGTCATGTATGGTGGCCGGATAATGGAAAGTCTTGATGCAAAAAATCTCGACCAGGCGCAGCATCCTTACACAAGGGGATTGCTGAATTGTCTTCCGCGCCTGGATGGCAATCATGACGATCTCCCGGTTCTCAGACGTGATCCGGCCTGGTTGACGGAAGGCGATGATGTCCCGGAGGGAGGCGCGGCATGATCGAGATCGAGGATTTCAGCATCACCTTCGGGTCCGGCAAGAACCAGATTCGCGCGGTCAGGAATTTCAACCTGAGTGTTGCAGAAGGTGAAAGCTACGGTCTGGTGGGGGAGTCAGGTTCGGGCAAATCCACTGTTCTGCGCGCCATGGTCGGTATCAATTCACATTGGGACGGCACGATCAGGGTTGCTGGCGAGGCGCTGACGCACAAAAGGTCCGTTGAATCGCGAAAACACATGCAGATGGTTTTTCAGGATCCCTACGGTTCGCTGCATCCAAGACGCACGCTCGACGATACCTTGAGCGAACCACTGGTCATTCACGGACTAGACAACCGCGAAGAACGGATATTGAAAATCCTCAAGGAAGTCGGCCTTGGCCCTGAATTCCGCTTCCGATACCCGCACCAGCTATCGGGAGGCCAACGTCAGCGTGTGGCGATCGCCCGGGCACTGATCCTGGAACCGCGTGTCATCCTGCTCGATGAACCGACAAGCGCGCTGGATGTGTCCGTCCAGGCCGAGATACTCAATCTCCTGTCGGCGTTGCGCAAGGCTCATGGTCTGACCTACATCATGGTCAGCCACGACCTGGCGGTTGTCGGTCACCTTTGCAGCAGGATTGCTGTCATGAACCGGGGTGAGATCGTCGAGGAAATTACCGAGGATCAGATGCGAACCGGCGAAGTGACACACGCCTATACCAAGCAGCTGTGGACCGCTTCGCAAGGTTACGACAGGGCTGCCCTTGAAACGTTCCAGGAGTTTGCCTGAAAACGAGCCTCTTGACGGCAGTTGCGGAGGCAGGTTCCTTCACAGCGATCACACCAAGCCGTGACTTGCATGCCATGTGTTCGTGCCTACGTCTGACACGACAAAATGCTGGAGGGTGAATTATGGCAAACCGACCGCTGAAACTCGAATTTGATGGTGCGCATGGTGCCAGGCTTGCGGCACGGCTGGATCTTCCTGCCGGTAAGATCCGCGCATTTGCCTTGTTTGCGCATTGTTTCACCTGTTCCAAGGACATTCCGGCTGCACGGCATATCGCAGGTGCGCTCAGTGCGGAAGGCATCGCCGTGCTGCGCTTTGATTTCACCGGCCTCGGCGGCAGCGGTGGGGACTTTTCCTCGACCGGCTTTTCCTCCAATGTCGAGGACCTGAAGCTGGCAGCCGATTTTCTGAGGCAGAACTACGAGGCACCCCGGCTTCTGATCGGACATTCGCTGGGAGGCGCAGCCATTCTTTCCGTGGCTGGCGAGATCCCTGAAGCGCGTGCCGTCGTGACGATCGGAGCCCCGTCCGATGCCGATCATGTCGTTCACAACTTCAAGGGATCTGTTGACGAGATCCGCGCCAAGGGCGCGGGCGACGTTGATCTTGCAGGCCGTACCTTTACCATCCGCCGGGAGTTTCTGGAGGATCTGGAGGCCCAGACGGTCAAGGCAAAGGCAGCAAATCTCGGCAAGGCGCTGCTGGTCATGCACGCGCCGCTCGATGACACCGTCGGCATTGAAAATGCCACAAACATCTTCGTTGCTGCCAAGCACCCGAAAAGTTTCGTGTCGCTCGACAAGGCCGATCACCTTTTGACGCGCAGCGAAGACGCGGCCTATGCGGCAAGAGTGATCGCAGGTTGGGTCAGCAGGTATCTTGATGCGGAAACCGCGCCGACGGCTTCAGCTGCAAGAGACGGTGTCGACGTTGTGGAAACGGGGCAGGGCAAGTTCCAGTCCATGGTCGCCGTCGGAAATCACCGCATGATCGCCGACGAACCTGCCGATTATGGCGGCTATGACAGCGGCCCGTCACCTTATGAGTATCTGTCCACGGCGCTTGGCGCCTGCACAGTCATGACGCTGCGCATGTATGCGGATCGAAAGGGATTGAAGGTCGACAGGATCGGCACGCGTGTTCTGCACAACAAGGTGCACGCCGCAGATTGCGAAGACTGTTCGGATGACCGGAAGGGGCGCGGGGGCAAGATTGACCGCTTTGAGAGGCTGATCACGCTTGAAGGCGAGCTTGATGCGGCGACCCGCGAACGCATGCTCGAGATCGCGGACAAGTGCCCGGTTCACCGCACACTTGAGGCGGGCGCGGCGGTTATCACCCGTGAAGTTGAACCCGGGCAATAGTCCCGAGGCGCGTGCGTCCGGTCAGGCAGCTTGTTCTTCAAGTGTGCTGAGGCGGATTTTCATGAAGGAAAGCAGACGGCGCGCGTCTTTTTCCGTCAGGTTCTGGTAGTCACCGATCCAGTTCTGGACGGTCGTCTGGGGTTGTTTGTTGTTTGTGGCCCGAGCCCGGCTCAACGCTATGTAGCCGTTGTGGTCTACGCCCATCGCCTTGCAAAGAACGGCAATACCGGTCGCATCGTAGCGAACCATGACGTTTGTGACGTATTTCTGATCCAGTCCAGCCATTTCGGCAAGCATGAAGCTGATGTCGAAGAGATTGTTTGACAACGCCATCTGGGTGATTGCCTTGCCAAGATCGCCTCGGCCTTCGCGGACGTCTTTCAGGATAACCTTTGCATTGATACGTGTAGCTTTCCGCTCCAGTTTCGAGCTTGCGACCACCTTGCTGGCTTCGTGGAAAAGCGACAGGACCAGCTGCTCGTTTTCTTCGCGCATCTTGCGGATTTTGGCTTGCTGCGCCTCGGGCATCTGTGAAATCAGCTTTTCATAGTCGGCCTCGGACACGTCCGAGCGCTCAACCATCGCGTCACGGATCTTTTCGTCGCGCTCGGCCAGCTTGACCAAAAGGCGCCCCCCCCAATCGGAAAGCTCGGCACCTGAGTTGGCTGCAACAGATTGTTTCACCGGGCTTTCGCCGCGTTCCAGCAGAACGTCGGTTACCTTGGCCTCCAGGTGATCGCGTTTTGAAATGGCAAGCAGGTGCCCTTGTCCCATGGTCTTTGCAAGACGCAGAATATCTTCTTCTTTCAACGCGTTCGAGGACGTCAGCATCGGCTGAGCAACATCGATTTCGTCGCTTGCAAGCTCGTAGGCAATTTTCTGGGAGGTCGTGTCTATCGGTGCAAGACGCTCTGACACTTCCTTCTTCTGCTCGGTTTCCATCGACGGGAGCATGCGTTCCAGAACAGCATTGAAGAGCGAAATCTCTTCTGTCTGATAGCTGTCGGCACCAGTCGCAAACAGGTCTGTGACATGTTCAACCAGCTTGCGGCGTTTTTCAGGTGAACTGTCCTGAGCTTGATTGAGAAGATCATTGATCATGTCGGATCCATCCATTCTTGTGGTGCCAACAATACCTCGGAGACAGTTTACAAGTGGATAAGGCGAAGTTGAAAAATGTGAAAATTAGCGATTTTGGGGCAATGAACAAGCGTTCCGCAGCAATGTACTGTGAAGCGCTTCATAACATACTGCCGAAGTCGTCTAGGCTGCCTGATGAGTTTCTGCGGATCCCAACTTCATCTTCATGAGTGCGAGCAGGCGGCGCGCATCGTTGTCGTCCAGCATATGATAGTTGGTTAGCCATTTGCTCCCGGTGCTTTCCGGGAACTTCAGGTGCTTGCAGCGTTCCTTGCATACCGCCTGGAATTCCATCGCGCCGATGCCGCTTGCACGGCAGACCGTGGCGATGCCTGTCGCATCGAACCGCACCATCAGGTTGTGGACATATTTCATCTCAAGGCCGGAAAAGACCGACAGGAGCCCGGCAACGTCCAGAAGATTGTGTTCATGAGCCAGTTGGTAGACAGCCTTGTTCAGCGTCGTCTTGCCGAGCTTGATACCCATGAGCCAGGCTTTCGGGCTGATCTTGGAGGCCCGCTTTTCCAGTTTCTGCCCCGAAGCGATTTCACCGTCTTCCCGGAACAGATCCTCGATCAGTTCCTCGTTTGACTTTCGCAGGTGCCGTATCCGCTCCCCCATTTGTTTCGGCATGTCCTTGACCAGCTCTTCAAAGACCGGCATCTGCATTTCGGCACCCAGGTTGGACGCCAGTGCGTGCCTGACATCCTTGCTGCCACGCTTGACCAGAAGCTTGGCCACGTCCTCACTGATATGATCGCGTTTGGCCATGGCCAGCAGGTGGCCCTGATCTTTCTTCTGTGCGATCGAACGCAAGGCGTCTTCTGAGAGGGACTTCGACCGCTCGAGGACGGCCTGAGCAACGGGCAGTTCGTCATTCGCCATTGCTTCTGCGAGCTTGGAGGACGTTGATCCAACATCCGCCAGCCGTTCTGACATCTTCTTTCTTGCCTCGAGTTCCAGTGACCCGTAGACACCTTCAAGCATATTGTTCAGAAGATTTATTGCTTCAGAGCTATCGTCTTTGGAACGTACGGTAAGTAAGCCGGTGACATGCTCTGCAAGCTCATGTTTCTTCTCTGAAGAACTGTCCTTGGCAAGTTGAAGCAGTGAATCAGTCATGTTGATATCCCGTGATATTGAGTATCATGGAATATTCTTTACATCCGGTGAAAGTCTGCGGTTGAATTTGTGAAATCGCAATCTGTGGGCGAAATTGACCTTTTGCCGATGATGCGCCATGGAGTGGACATGCACACTCTTCCAATCCTGTACTCTTTTCGACGATGCCCTTTCGCAATACGTGCTCGCCTGGCGATTGCGGCGAGTGGACAGTCGGTCGAGTTGCGCGAGATCGTGCTGCGCGACAAGGCTCCGGAGTTTCTTCAGACCTCTCCCTCTGCAACGGTGCCATGCCTGAAAACGGATGCGTTTGTACTTGATGAAAGTCTGGATATCATGCTGTGGGCGCTGGGGATCCACGATCCGGAAAGCTGGTTGCGACCCGCTGAAGGCGACAGGGAGCAGATGCTTGCACTGATCACCCGGTGCGATGGTCCATTCAAGATCCATCTTGATCGTTACAAGTACCACACGCGCTATGAAGATGCGCAACGAGAACACGAACGCACGGCAGCGTCAGAGTTTCTCATTGAACTGAATGAGCGACTTGCAAATCGGGCCTGGTTGTTCGGCAACAGCGCGTCTCTCTCCGACTATGCAATCCTTCCCTTCGTCCGTCAGTTTGCCAATACGGACCGCGCCTGGTTCGATGGTGAAGAGTGGCTTGCCCTGAAAAAGTGGCTCGAGGCATTCGAGTGCTCAGAGAGACTTCAATCTGTCATGCCGAAGTGGCAGAGATGGTCCGCTGACGACCGACCGATCCGTTTTCCAGCTTGATGTTTGTGGAAAAGATGCCTGGGTTTGTCATTTCCACGGGAATGGAAAATGCAGGGGCAACAGAAAATTTCTCCGCAAATACATAAGCTTCCGCGACAGGTATCAAGGCTTTTGTCTGATGCGGGAGAGGTCGAATTCTCAAACTAACAAAAATGTAACTCCTCCGACAGGCAACGGTAAGGCGGGAATACCTACTTTCCTCACTGAGCCCGGAGCGTAGGTCCCCGTGCGCTCCATTTGTGGCCTCCAATTGTTATGTCGACAGAGGAAAAAAATATGCAAAATCGTGGGTCAGTCTCTCCTTTGCGGTCCCGCCGCGCCAAATTGCTGGCAGGAGTTGTCGCACTCGGTACTGCCGGGCTTTTGACCGCTCAGACCGTCGTCCCAAGCCAGCTCGCGCAAGCAGAGCCTGTTCGTGTCGACGCGACCGCGCCAGCAGACTTTTCAGACGTTGTCCGCACCGTCAGCCCGGCTGTTGTAAGTGTTCAGGTGAAGCAGGAAGCCGAGCCGCGCATGATGAATTTCAACGGTGGCAACAGCACTGATGAATTCTTCAAGGGTCTGCCGAATGGCCACCCGTTTGAACGGTTCTTCCGTGATTTCGGTGGCCGAGGCGGTGAAGAAGGCCAGAAGCAGCGCCGGTCGCCGCGGCAGTATGGTACATCCCAGGGGTCCGGTTTCTTTATCTCCAAGGACGGTTATGTCGTTACCAATCATCATGTGATCGACGGTGGTACGGAATTCACCGTGATTGATCAGAAAGGTGACGAATACAACGCCAAGCTGATCGGAGCCGACAAGAGAACAGACCTTGCGCTGCTCAAGATCGAGGGCGGCAAAGATTTCACGTATGTGGATTTTGCAGATGAAGCTCCTCAGGTCGGTGAATGGACTGTCGCGATCGGTAATCCGTTCGGACTGGGCGGTTCGGTAACCGCAGGGATCGTGTCCGCCCGTGGGCGTGACATCGGTGCGGGACCTTACGACGACTTTATCCAGATCGATGCGCCGGTGAACCGCGGCAACTCAGGTGGCCCGGCCTTCAACATGAACGGTGAAGTGATCGGTGTGAATGCGGCGATCTTCTCGCCGTCCGGTGGCAATGTCGGTATTGCCTTCGCAATTCCGGCCTCGACCGCGCAAGATGTCATCATGGAGCTGAGGGATGACGGCACCGTTATCCGTGGCTGGCTTGGCGTTCAGATACAGAACGTCACCGATGACATCGCGGAAAGCCTTGGCCTTGAAGAGGCCCGCGGCGCCATCGTCGCGGAAGCGCAGGAAAACAGCCCGGCTCAGAAGGCTGGCCTGCGCTCGGGCGACACCATTCTCGCGGTTGACGGCACCAAGGTGGACGGCCCGCGCGATCTCTCCAAGATCGTGGCGGCCTATGAACCGGACACCAAGGTCGACGTTACGATCTGGCGCGACGGCAAGGAACAGGATGTCTCTGTGACCCTGGGCCGTCTCCAGGAAAGGGAAAAGGTTGCCGAGGCAGCGGAACCACAGGTCGAGAAGGCCGGAACCAGCCTTGACGATCTTGGCCTGGTCGTAACGACCAAGGCTGAAGCAGGTCTTGATGGTGAAGGCGTGGTTATCGCGGAAATCGATCCTGATGGACCGGCTGCCGACAAGCGTCTGTCGGCCGGTGATGTGATCCTCGAAGTGGCCGGCTTGAAGGTCAACAATGCGGATGACGTACTGAAGGCGCTCGACAAGGCGGAAAGTGACGGCCGAAAGGCAGTTCTCTTCCGGATCGAGACCAACGACACAACCCGGTTTGTGGCTCTGCCCATGAACCTGGCCTGATCAGGAACCGGTTCGACAAGAACCGGAGCCTGACCGGCGAGACCGGCTTGCCCTCTGCCCCCAACCCCGACGGGCCGGTCTTCGCCATGGGTTTCGCCCGTAAACCCAGCCAGTCTGGCGGCGGCGCCTCACATCCATCGCCGCCGCCAGCC